TGTGGTTGATATGGATGCTAGTCATGTATTACTTGGAAGACCTTGGCAATTTGATGTCGATATTACATTTAGAGGGCGAGACAACACTTATGTGTTCAATTGGGGGTCTTATAAAATTGCTGAGTCCCTTAAAGCAACACACAATGCCTCCGAAAGTCAAAGCGAAGTCTTTCCTCACTATAACCAATTCAGCGGCTGAGTTTGTGGCAGATGCGAAAACTTCACAAGAGTTATATGCTATGGTTGTGAAAACAACGGTACCTGTGGCTAAAGAGAACACAGTCACACCAATCCCTCAGAAAATTCAACCATTGTTGGAGGGATTCCAAGAGCTTACTGCTGACGAGTTGCCAGATGAACTTCCACCCATGAGGGACATTCAACATCAGATTGATTTCATACCAGGAGCAAGTCTGCCAAACCTACCACACTATAGAATGAGTCCAAAAGAGAGTGAGATCCTACAGGAGAAAGTCGAAGAATTACTGCGAAAGGGACTTATTCGTGAAAGCCTAAGTCATGTACTGCTCCGGCATTATTAACGCCAAAGAAAGATGGAAGTTGGCGAATGTGTGTAGACAGCCGAGCCATCAACAAGATTACCATCAAGTATAGATTTCCCATTCCTAGACTAGATGATATGTTGGACATGCTGAAAGGATCAAAGTGGTTTTCAAAGATTGATCTGCGAAGTGGGTACCATCAAATTCGAATCCGTCCTGGGGATGAATGGAAAACAGCATTCAAGACTAAGGATGGTTTATATGAATGGTTGGTTATGCCATTCGGCCTTTCTAATGTTCCTAGCACCTTCATGCGAGTGATGCATCAAATATTACGACCTTTCACTAGGAAATTTGTCGTGGTTTATTTTGATGACATATTAATCTACAATAAATCAGAGGAGGACCACATGGCCCATTTATGAGAGGTGTTGACAGCACTGGAGGTAAGCAAGTTGTACATTAACCTTAAGAAGTGCAGTTTCCTTACAAGTAGTTTGTTGTTCTTGGGTTATGTGGTTAGTTCAGATGGCATTCATGTGGATCAAGAGAAGGTTCGAGCCATCCAAGAGTGGCTAACACCCAAGACTGTTAGTGATGTTCGGAGTTTCTATGGGTTGGCTACGTTTTATAGGCGTTTCATTCGAAGTTTCAGCACTATTGTGGCACCAATAACAGAGTGCATGAAGAAAGAAAAATTCATGTGGGATGATGATACAGAAGAGATCTTGCTGATCAAAGAGAAGTTGTGCACTGCACCAGTGCTAGCTTTGCCTAGTTTTGAGAAGATTTTTGAGGTAGAGTGTGATGCCAGTGGTGCGGGCATTGGGGCTGTCCTATCTCAAGAACATAAACCAGTGGCCTTTTTCAGTGAAAAATTAAGTGAAGCTCGGCAAAAGTGGAGCACTTACGACCAAGAATTTTATGTAGTGGTTCGAGCTTTGAAGCATTAGGAACATTACTTGATACAGAGAGAGTTTGTGTTGTATACTAATCATCAAGCCTTAAAGTTTATCAACAGCCAGAAGCACCTAGATAACATGCATGTAAGATGGTCTACTTTCCTTCAGAAATTTCCTTTTACTATTCGCCACAAATCAGGGGTTTTGAATCGAGTCGCGGATGCCTTGAGTCGACGAGCTAGTTTATTAGTCACGTTGACACATGAGATTGTGGGTTTTGAGTTCCTGAAAGAACTTTATCCCGATGATGATGACTTCAAGGAGATATGGGCAAAGTGTATTCAAAGACAACCAGTAACTGATTTCCACATCACTGATGCCTATCTATTTCGAGGAAATCGCTTATGCATTTCCCGTAGCTCTTTGCGAGAGAAACTAATTCGAGATCTCCATGGTAGTGGCTTAAGGGGACATTTGGGTAGGGACAAGACTATCGCAAGTATGGAAGAATGATATTTCTGGCCTCAGTTGAAGCGAGATGTTGGCAATTTTGTGAGGAAGTGCTACATTTGTCAAGTATCCAAAGGGCAATCTCAGAATACTGGTCTCTATATGCCTCTACCTGTTCCTAACAGCATATGGGAAGACTTGTCGATGGACTTTGTGTTGGGACTCCCTCGTACCCAACGTGGAGTTGATTCTGTGTTCATAGTGGTTGACAGGTTTTCAAAGATGGCGCATTTTATTCCTTGTCGAAAGACTTCAGATGCCTCTCATGTGGCTTGATTATTCTTTCGAGAAGTAGTTCGTTTGCATGGAGTCCCTCAATCCATTACCTCAAATCGTGATGTCAAGTTCCTTAGCCACTTTTGAGTGACTTTGTGAAAGATATTTAACACAGCCTTGAATCGTAGTTCAACCGCGCATCCTCAAACAGATGGTCAAACAGAGATGACTAATAGGACTTTGGGCAATTGGTTCGCAGCATTTGTGGAGACAAACCAAAGCAATGGGATCTTGCTTTGCCTCAAGCAGAATTTGCATATAATAGCGCAGCTCACAGTGCCACAGGAAAGTCACCATTCTCTCTGGTGTATGTCACACCTCCAAAACATGCAGTTGATTTGCTCCGTTTGCCTTGGGGTACTGCCACCGAAACCATGGCCAAACAAGCCCAAACAATACAAGAAGAAGTACGACAGAAGCTGGAGGAAACAAATACCAAATATAAGGCAGCTGCAGACAACTATCGGCGCTCCAAACTGTTCAAGGAAGGAGATTCAATAATGGTGTTTTTGAGCAAAGACAGATTTCCAGTTGCCACATACAACAAATTGAAGCCTCGCAAGTATGGTCTCTATAGCGTGTTGAAGAAAATCAATGACAATGCTTATATGATTGAGCTACCAAACGACATGAAGATTTCCAAGACTTTTCATGTAACTGATTTATATGAGTATCATGCTGAAGAACCCCTCTATCCAGAATCGAACTCGAGGTTGAGTTCTCTCCAAGAAAAAGGGACTGATGTAGAACAAGTAGCCGAAGACTTCTTGGAACAATTGGACCAACAAAAGGCAAGAAAAAAGACATAGAACAAAATTCTATAATTTTTGTATTTCTTAATTTTATTATTTAGAATTAGGTTTTTGACTAGGATTTTAAATAGTTTAGAATTTTTAGTCTCTTAGGTTTCCTAGTTCTCTTAGGTTTCTTAATTTGTGTTGATTTAAGTTTCCTAGTTTATTTTGGAATCACTTTTCCTACAAATATTAGGTTTAGTCTATTATAAATAAGCCTACAAGTATATGTAATTTTTATTCATTCAATAATATTTTTAAGAGTTTTTCTTCTATCTTCCTTGTGGATTCAAGGGTGTTCTTGTGGATTCAAGAATTCTCATCTACTAGAACGATATCTAGTCTCGTGTGATTTATTCCGCTGCGTCAAAAATTTAAATTGTGTAAATTTAATCCTTAATATTTGAAAAATATTTCAATTTGATCCCCCAACCTAACTTCACCAATAAAGGCCATTAAAATTTTAGAGATCAAAATGACATAAATCACATATTTTAAGAACTAAAAGTGTAATTTTCTAAGCGAGTTTTACATTAATTACACAGATCATGTATTTTGGAGACTAAAAATATAATGTTGCAAGTAAGTTTTCACATCTATTCTTGACTTTAACAGCATCTACTAACAGAGTTATGTTAGGGGAACAAATTAAAATACTTTTTTATACATTATTGACTAAATTAACACCATTTATACCTTAAGGATTAAAATGATACAAACAACATATAATGACCAAATAATACAAACAACATATTTTGGGAGACCAAAAATGTAATTAACTCATTATTATTTTTTATGATTGGTGGGAGGGAAATAAGAAAAAGAAAAACTACTTGGCCTCGTTTGGAAACAGATTATTTTAGTAATTTTTTGACTTTTTGGTTAAAATATGAGGTAAAAAAAACTTGTATGTTTGGAATGATTTTTTGATTTTTTACTAATAGATGTGCAAAACGTATAGAGAAAAGAGAATATTTGACTTTTTGATATAGGTCATAAATTTTTTAATTTTTTTAATAATTTTTTAACTTTTAGACTAAAACTATTACTTTCCAAACTCGAACTCGAATTCGAACTTAAGTATTAGCTGTTTACATGTGAAGTGCTAGCAGTTTGCTTAATTAGTTGTTAAATTTAAATAGCACAATTAATTTACAAAATCCCTCTAGTTTGGATAAAACTTCACTAGGTTTAGATGGGAGAAACTTGGATGTGGTGGATATTAAAATACCTCAGCCACTCATCACTTTAAGGTCACGATGTTTACCAAAGTAAAATATAAAAATGCAATAAACTATGTGGAGTTGAACAGAGGATATGGAGCAATACAATGAATGTGGATGTTCATTTTTATGTTAATGCAACAGACAGTGGCAAATCCACTTTGGGCGTCAATGGTAGGTTGGACGGTCTTATAAGCATTATGAAAGAGAAAGTGGACAGCCCAAATTAGTTTATTGGCACACGATCTTTATTATTAAAACTATCTTGAAGTCCATTAAAACAAATATCAGATACTTTGAAATAAAAGATATCTGTGAAAATTGATTTATGTTGTGAAACATGTCACTGATCACATCAAATATGGTACATGAAATAGTGTTGAGCATTAATATTGTATTGAACAGTCCTTTTACTATTCTTGTTTTTGCTATAAATATAGACGTGTAGAAGATGAAGATTGCAAGGAAGTAGAGTGTAAAAAAAAAAGAAAGAAAAGAAAAAAGAAAAAAGTAGAGATCAGGAGAGAAAAGGTAAGAACTATACTGAAATGTATAGTTAAATTACTGAATAAATAACAGAATTAAATCATGTAGACCTATAGTTGAAGGTTTCTGAAGAAGCAAATACAAGCTCCCAAATAACTTAATGCTTTCTATATCTTGTGTTCAAATTATTACCTTATCTGTTTTACATTTTCATCATTATTACGACAACTTAAGACTTGTATAGATGCAGAGAAGTGGAGTGAAAGAAATGTTTTGTATGTGGAGGTTGTGGTTATATCATTACAAAATGGTGTATAGCTTAAGATATGACATCAGTATCTACTTGGTTCACATGCAGTAGTTGTTGTGCATCAAAATATATACAAGGAAAAGGATAAAGTCACTTTTGGTGCCAAACATACATTAAGGTGCACATGTGACACATATAAGTACAAGTTAATGCATCAACACCACACCAGCAAATTTCTGAACTTATCTGCAACCATGCATGTGACTGCAATAGAGACAGGCCTCTTAATTCATTCCTTTGACCCATACTTGCATAGCATAGTGCAATCTCTTGTGAACATGAGAATTATCTAGTATTGGATTGGAGCAGATAGAGTCCTGTCTCTGTCCCAAAAAAAAAAAAATAATTGAAGAAAAATTACTCAAAATTTTTACCAGAAAAATGATGTGTGCTTCAAGTTCAAATACTGTATAATTAGACTCTAGTTGAAATAAATCTCGACCACATAATATTTTTCTGAGTAGATGTGTGCTTCAAATTCAAATACAGTATAATTAGACTCTAGTTGAAATAAATCTCAACCATATAATATTTTTTTGAGTATTTTTTTGACTTTTTTTTTCTATTAATTGTAGAATTTGAGAGCTAATTGTGAGCATCTCTAGGTTGTTTGAGAAGTGCCAAATAAATATACTTTTTGATTTTTTAAGAAAAAATGTGTAAAAAAATAAATAGATGACGTGACTAAAAAAAGATAAAAAGATAAAAAAGTGTGCTAATATAGCACTTCCCAAACAACCCTAAAAGCAAAAGGGCTAGGTGAGGTGACGCAGTTTTGCGAGTGAAGTTGTTTTGGTCTTTGAGCAACTCCAAAGGTAATAGGCAAAATAGTTTGCAAAAGTATACATAAAATTACCCTATTTAATTTGCCTAATAGCTAGTGTGCACTCTAACCATACTCTTTATTTTAACTAATCAATCAAACTAACTTAACTAGTTTTTCAAAGAAAAAATAATATAAACATAGATAAATGAATAAATAATCTTTTTATAACATATTATACATATGTTAATGTGGCATTTGAAAATATATTTTTTTTAAATTTATAAGTAAATTATTTAAAATATATATTAAATTATATTAAAAAAAATATTTTTAAATGATCATATTTTCAAATGGGTTGCATTAACGATGGAGGGAGTAAGCAAATGGAGAGCAATTTCAACGGAAAACCTTTTACCTATCAATGAAGACTAGTTAGTTGTAGAGAGCCAAAATCAAAATGGACATTTTGCCTTTTCTGATGTAGAGCTCCCAGGAGGAAGAGAAAACCATATGCACTAGCAAAAATGCCTCAGGATGCTCTTTTGCCTCCTCCATTTGAAATGCTCTTACTCCAACAGTCTCTACATCACAGGAGGAATTTTGTCAATTTTCATTTTGACTCTTTCCAAGCAGCTATCATTCATTGCTAAGCAAAGGATCTTCCCGCCATTTTACTCATCTTTGCTTAGTCTTTCCATCTTTGATATATTTGTGCTTTCTCAATATTTGTTGTTTCTTCTTTCCTCCAGCCTATCGAAAATATTATTGTTGAAAGAAAATATGATAGTTTAAAAATATTATTTAAAAAATTAATTTAATAATATATTTTTAATGTGGGGATGTATTTTTAGGGTCGTACCATGTGAGCGAGATATGGCCGAAACATTGGCCGAGGTGCCACGTGGAAGACCTAAGTTTTTGAAATGATGATGATACTGTCCAGATATAGTGCGATAACACCGGAATCTGAGATATTTAGATAGAAGATAAGAGTCCTAGATAAGTGAGGTGCTTAGTTCGGATAGGGATGAGGCTCCTGTGGAATTCATCCATATCTAATTTAGAGTTTGAGATAAACATTATGCTTGAGTCCTGTAAAATGAGACTTCTAAGGGCGAGTGCACTATTGGTTATAAAAGTAAGGCACCCTTGTAAGTCTAAGGTATGCTTTTACTTATGCATTGAGTACTTATTCGATATCTTTGAGAGATAAGATTGACTGACATGATCGTCGGAGTGCCCCTAGTGGACGAACTACCGCAGTATTCTTATCTTTTTGTTGGCAAGTGATTGGTTTAATTTATTCTGTCACGTGCTCTTCAGCTTAGTTCTCTACTTGGTTGTGAGGTCAAAAATTCAACACTCACATATAAAAAAATAAATATTGTAAATGTCACGTCAGCAATCACGTCAATACTGGGTACATATACAACATATCATAAAAAAAGATTGTAGAGTAAATTATACTTTGTACCTTTGCATTTTACACCAAAACCCACTTTGGCCCTCACGTATGAAATCATACAATTGTTGGAACAATCTTCTGTGTAAATAAAATAACTTGAAATAATTCAAACAAAATAAATAAATAACATACCGAATTTATTTCGTTGAACCGAATAAATAACTTAAGACCAAGTCGAGTGTGAGACACTCTGTCCTTAAGACAGATTCGCTCTGCTATGGTGCTTACGGTTGAGTGGTGTCTATCTCCCAGGATACAATGATCTTCACAAATTAATAGAAGCACTTCAAATAAATTTGTTCGGCGAACCAAACCTGCGATCTATACTCTTTTTAATTTATTCTAAAACTAGATATGAAAAATAAATGCACTAGAGAAAAATTGGACAACAATAAGACAAAATATTAGACTACTTTTTGGACTACAAAATCAGATATACGGACTGATTTTTTCGAATCCAATGAACTGCAGAAAAAGATTGTATATATAGGCAAACAAAGTCCCTGAACAGGTGCAACAAATTTAAATGAACAGATGCACTATCTAAAAGAACAGGTGCACAAGTTGTGTTCAAATAAATCTGACGGTTGTACCAAAATTTCAAAAAAGTGTCCGTTGGTCAAACGCAACGCAAGAACAGTTTTGGAACTTTATTTAATAACTATTAGGAATATATATATATATATATATAACTAATGGAAAACAATTATTAAACTATTTTAAATAGTTTAATCATTTTTTAAGAAATCACAATTTGAATTTAGAATTAAATTAAATTCTCACAATTACAAATTTTAGAAAACCACTCAAGAATCCAAAATTTGAATTTAGAATTAAATTAAATTCCCACAATAATTTTTATTGAAAAAATTCAAATGAATTTTATTTAAAAAATTAATGTTAGATCCGAAAACGACGTTAACTTCCCATTCACTCATAAATGGTTTTGACGTTCTGTCTTCACCGTGTGACTTGCCACGCGGCAAGGAACACGTCACCTCTTCGGACTCACCCCAAGGACGTTTGGGACCCACTCAAATTGAGCTAAAAAATATGCCTATATTAAACCATTTTTCCAACAACAATCAACTCCTGCATATCTGGTCAAATCTCATTTTGATCACTACATATGAAATCGTAATAATTAGTACCCTGCACTTTTAGTCAAATCCCACTTTGATTCCTAGCAAGTGTTAATGTCTCACTTCTACTACTCAACGGTTTAAATATTTAACAGAAATGTCGTCATGTAACAAAAATGTGAATACGAAATAAGGGTAAGAGAAGAAAATTATTCTCATTTCCCACCAGTACACACTTTGTCCCAAAATTTACATCAATGTATGACTGTATTAGGTTAAAACAAAACGCAAATTGTGAACGATTAAAAGGATGAACTAGAGTTTTGCATAAATTAGAATTACAAAACTTTGTTTTCCACAGTAACATAGTTTTTTTTTTTTTTTTTTTTGTCTATTCTTCTTCATTTCTCGTTGATTTCTCTGTCTTTTTTTATTTCAAAAGCTCTAACTTTGTTTGATTTGTCTCTTGAGAGATAATTTTTGAGAAAAAATTTCAAAATTTTGTTTAGTTAAATTTTTTAAAAACAAAAAACAAAAACAAAATCATTTTTCTCTTTACTACAAATCAATCAATCACTTTTTATCTCCTCTCTCTCCTTCTCTCATATTCTACACATTAATCAATCACTTTTTCTCCCACACCCATCTATTCAACTATAAAAAAATATATATATATTTAAATTAAATCATTCCAAACTTCAAATCTATTTTCAAAACATACAACTAAATAAAATTTAAATTATGTAAACTATTTCTAGAAAATTAGTTTTCAAATTGTTTCACAAATGCAAACCAAACATGGCCTTTATTTTCTTTTCTCTTCGTCTCAATTTTCAATATATATATATACTGTATTACATAACTCTCACGCGCTTATCGCGTAGGATAAAATGTGTATTGATGAAAAATATGAATGATTTTATTTTCTTATATTCATTTCGTGGTCATATTCTTGTCACATGACTAGATTTTGTTAAAAATTTAAATAAGAAAATAACATCATGAAAATATTAACACTTGTATAGAGACTAAAGTAAAATTTAAACAGAGTAAAAATAAATAAACCCAATTAATTACTAATTCAACCTGCTTTCAATTGCTAAACAAATAATATGCTCTCAACATTTTAATAAAAACAAACAATAAAACATAGTTAGGAAAGAAAAAGAATGATGTGATGGAGGCGGCATCGACAATTCACTGTTTTGCTTGTGACCGGACCAAGCCTTTTTTAAAGTCTCCAACTAACACACAAAAAGATAAACAATAGAAAATTCGTAATGTTAATTAGTTGACCAACTTGTCACTATCCCGTCACTATCTCATTTTTTTTTTTAAAGATTCTACTAATGTAATATGTTTTCTATAATTAATCAGTAATCACTTTTTTCATTCTTTTTATTTTTCTTTGATTAATGTATGATATTACAATCAAAACTAGTCAATAAAGCAACAAAAAGGGACTAAAAATAATTTTAAAAACATGAACCTAAAAACAGTATTAAAAAATAAAATATTGTTTTAAATCTGTTAAGGCTCCCCATCCACTTCTCTTCATCAATCCATAAATCCTAAGTCTACATGAACTAGAAACCAAAATTGATGAGAGAGAGAGAGAGCAACCAGAAACTACAAACAAACACAAATCTTAATGGATTTGAACACAGAGCAACGAAAAACCAAATAAACCCTAAATCGATGTGTATATCTAATATATGTATATTTATATATAACAAAACATAGGGTTTAGGGTTTCAAATCTTACTTTTTGATGGAGATCAACGGAAAATAGAAATGATCGCCGACGATTTTGATGTGTGGAGCAGTCGGTAGCGAGAGGAGAGGAGAAGAGGAGAGCGCCATTTGAGAGGAGAGGAGAAGAGAAGAGTTAGGTATGAAATGAAGAAGTATGGTTATATAGTGGCATTTTCGTTATTCCTTAAGTTTTGGAGGGGCATTTAAGTCATTTTACCCCTCCAAAAACAGTTGCGTGTTTAAGCTGTAAAATTAAGCACCCCAAGAGCAACTTTTGCATTTAAGTCAAAATTGGCTTAAATTAAGCCATAATCTATGCCTCATAAGTTGTACCAAGTACACCAATATAACTTAATTTAAGTCAAAAGTTGATTTAAGTTCAAATTTTTTTTTACCAAACACCCTAATGTTAGACTTTTTAAAAGTTTTATTAAAATTTTTATCAAATATTTTATATGAGTGTGAGATTTATATAGACTCACAGAATATGAGTCGTACACTCATAGAAGATATTTAATAAGATTTTTATATTTTTTTTAATGTGAGACCGTCCTTTTTCTTCCATCACTTTTGAATTTTTGGCTTTTGGTTGTTCAACCACGCAACGTGTGACAGCTTTGTCAAGACCCATTCACGCCCGAAGTGCGTTTTGGGTGATTAGTAGTCAGAGAACATAAATATTTGGTATACTTTGCTATTATAATTAGATTTTGTTTGTCATCACTTAAAAAAAAATTAAAAAATTATTATACTATTTAAGTCACATTATCTCTCTATCACATCACTTCAAATTCATCTTATATTCAATTCATATTTAATAAAAAGTCAAAAAATGTATTTATTTATATCATCCTAATACACCCCTTAGTGCAAAAAAGTGAATAAGACCTCGTCTGACAAGTGATTTTTTTAGTTAAAAAGTCACCAAAAAATAAAAAAGCTAAAAATCTATACAAAAAATTCAAAGATTCTCTTTTCTCTCTACTTTTTATACATCTTTTCATAAAAAGTCAAAAAATCACATCAAACATACTAGTTTTTTTTACATCACATTTTAACTAAAAAATTCAAAAATTACTAAAATAACCTTTTCTTCCAAACGAGGCCTAAATAAGATATTGTGTTAGATAATTTAGAAATATAAATAAGGATAATGAACAATAATTGGTAAGAAAGTACAGCCGCGCGATCTTCCGAAACTATTTTATAATTTTTCATGTTTTTAAATAAAATATCCACGAAATCTTTTATATATCATCCTATACTCCTCACTAATTGGCCTCCTCTTTCTTGATTTGTCGGCAATCCAGTAGCTATTTTAATTAGGAACTGTTGAGTAATCATTTTATTTTCAGTTTATATTTATAAAAAATTTAAAAATTATCATAAAAATTTGTTTGATAATTTTTTTGATTTATAAATAGTTGCCTCAATTTATAAATTTGAGAAAAAATGTAAACTCAGAAATTTTTTTAAAAATTTTGACTAACAATTTTTTTTTCATTTAATTTTTTTTTCCAATTAATTTTTTTTTTCAATTATAATGTGTATGATCCTATTGTCATAAATAATAAAAAATAAATATAAAATATTTTAGACCTAAACAAACATATTTTTTAGTTTATGTTTTTAAAATTTTCAAATATTTTGTTCAAACCAAACGCGTTTGTAATTTATGTTTTTATAAAAATAAATAAAAAGTAATTAATAAAAATTTTGTAAACATAAGCCAAAAATGTAAATATTACTAAACGCTACCTTAGAGTTTTGATTTTTTTTTAATGAAAAATATATATAAAAAAATAAAAATAAAAAGAAGAGTTGACTATTAGTAGTGATTTTTTAACTATTTTAAATTGTTATCTCAAGCGCCTTTTTCTATGGAGGGAGATTCTTGGAATGGAGGACGTTATTTGGACTTGTGAGGCTTATCAAAGGTACCATTTTGATTTTTCGAACCATTCATTTTGTCGAATGCTTTTTATGTTTCAATCGCATACAAAATTAGGTCAATCTGATAATGATAAGTTATTTAATTTATTGTGTTTTTAATCCAAAAAAATTATGATTCATTTTAAAAACACATTTTTTTTGTTAAAAAATTAATAAATTGAATAAATTATAATTATCAGATCGACCTAATTTTTTGTGTGAATAATATACACAGCACCCAACAAAATAAACTATTTAAATTATCGAAACGAAATCTGTGATAGCTCTCATAAGTCCAAACAACACCCTCTAGTCCAAAATCTGGACCGAAGGATCCTCCCCCCGTTTTTATATACAAGCAAGCAAGCAACATCCTTCCTTATATCAATTGCAGCCTCAGTTGCACAATCATAATTTAAAATTCTCATATTTTAATAAAATTTCACTAATTAATACAATTAAAAGTGCATTATTGGGTAGTGATTTTAAACATTTCTAACTTCATCAACATAGCTAAGCAAACCACATGCACCAAGTTGCATAGCCGAAATGTGTATAGAGCTACTCCAATGCAGCTCTCATAATGATTGCCATGGTTTTAAATATAATATAGCAATTTGAACAAAAATAAAAGAGTACTTATGAAGTGGGTATTGGAGATCTTAAAATTTGATAATTTTATATCTGGTGTCAAAATTATCACAAAGTATAGGCAAGAGTGCCAATTTTTGCGAGTCTCTCTACACTACACCTAAGAAATCAATATAAAGTATTATCATTAGAATCTCAGTGACCAAAATTTTTGGAACTTCATTCCTCCATTTAAAAATATAGTTATTAGTGAGATGCAATTACAAAAGGGATCTTAAATCCCTCTCCCATATTACCTCCCACCACTACTACTCCAAATTTCAGCATAAGCACAGAACATAATAATAAACAATCCCACTGCAGCCTGGTTGACAAACAAATCAAGAAGATGTTGAAATCCATTCATCACCTTGAATGAAATTCTTCACTGAATATGTATAAACATGGTCCGCGGGAATTTGGCTACTCCAGGATACTCTTCCAGACAAACTAGATCCTGGCCCGGAATTCTTAAATTCCCCATAGTAAAGTGTCTTTAAAGCAAAATCACCACTCCAAGGCATCCACCCTTGTGGTGTTATAAGAGCCTCCAAGTTACAATCTATGAAAACTGTCCTCGAATACTCCTTCCATGGCCTCCCCAGGAAATTTTTGTGCACTTTAGGGTTATTATAGTACATAGCCATGTAATCCTCAGTACCATTCACCAAACAGTTTTGGAAGACAAATCCTGTTGATTGGGCAGGGTCTGTTCTGCCATGTGCTGTCACGGCGTTGTTCTCGCCCTTTTCTGGTTTGACTTGTCGGGGCTTAACTAGAATAAGGCAATCTTGGAAGATTGAAGCAGAGTTTCCGAATATGAAGTCCACATTGCCTTGGATATGACATGATTTATAGAATTGGCGCAGCGAATGAGCATAGAGTGTGTCTTGGTTGCCAATGAATTCACAGTTTTCAATGAGAGATAGATCACTATCTGAACGGAATGCCACCGCTTGGTGAGCATCTGGACCTGCTGTGTTCTGGATAGTCAGACCACTGGCCATAAATCCATCACCAACAACACCTGTGCCGGAATCAACAAAAAAAAATATACATTAAACTAAAACAACTACAGAGAAACAACAAATAAATAAACAAATAAAAATAAAGGGCAGCTCAGGCTAAAAAAATATTAAGGCAGCTTAAGCTAAAAAAAGAGACCTTATTAACCCAAGGAAAGTTTTGAAATTACTCTTTTTTTGTCTTTCAATACAAAATATTGCAAGCAGCAGCTGCAGTAGCAGTAGCAATTGACTAAAAATTGGCAGAAATGAAGGGGCAACATTCAACATTCAACAATAAGAAAAAAGAATCCAACAACCATGTTGATCATTCTAATCATACATAAATGACATGTTTGATTGGATGGATTAGAGTATGGAATTGGAATTATTAATCCGTGGACCCAATTATCCTATGTTTGTTTTAATATTTTGGTTTAGGATTATTAATTCAATGAATAATTAATCCAACAAATTTATAGGATTATTAGTAATGGGGGTAGGAGTGAGATTATTAATCCAATGGATATTAATCCAATTGGATAGTGAATACCACATTAATTTAATAAGATTATTAATTCTTCACTATTAATCTTGTGAATCAAACATGACTAAAAGGTAAAACAGTCCTAAAGCATAGATGGCAATAAGTGCAACAGGTTTACGGTTGGTCCGATAACAATGTTATTAATATTCATATCTCAGCTAAGCCTAAGCTTGTGTTGACATTTCAAAAGGAGTGGTTGTAGAGAGTAAAAGGCTATAATTTATTTTCCATGCAAGATGAGAAAATGAACTTTAAAATAAAAAGGAACACCGTTAATTAAACAATGGTTCAAGAGATTAGATGTACAAGTCCAACCCACAACGGCCTGATGACTTGTGCTCGTCAAAACTTGGCCTATTCCCAAATTACACCTTACAATTCTGTATAACTAACTCTATGTGCCTGTTTGGTGCAACTTAGAAGTTGCTTATTTCAACTTTCAGCTTAATTTAAACTATTTTGATGTGTTTGGTTTAGCTTATAACTTATACCTTAGAGCTTTTTGGAAGTCAGAAATCAGCTTATTCTTTGAGTGAAAAAGGAGATGCTTAATTTATAAGTCAGAAATCAACTTGTGTTCATAGTTATAAGCTATAAGCTATAAGCGGTTTAGGCATAAGCTATAAGTACTTTCCTACAACTCTACCAAACAAGGCTTATATACTCACAACAACAGTTATGGACAAATATACATAGACTTGCGAAAACAGACATACAGAGAGAATCACAACTTCCTCATAACACACCCATAATCATTTTGATTGCACACGTAGTGTGCTTACCCTTCTAGTATATACAAAATGGCCCAACAAAGAACAGCATTTTTTTATTTTTTATTTTTTATTTTTTGCAAGAAGAACACTTCTGGTGAGTGCAATTCAAGAGAATTATATAGAAAGATGCATTATTGCATATTTCCCTCAAAAGCTTGTGCATTTTAAGGAAAGCATTCAATTTGAGAGGGAATCAGATTATGTAAATAATAACATTTAAAACATTTAAAGGGTTGGCCTTGTGAATCAGTTACTCGTTAGGGTTCAAGTTTTGCAACTACACTATGCAATTTCCCTTTTCTATATTCCCTTTTACAAACTGTCGGAGAAAAATAAAAAATAAAAAATAAAAAGTCAAATCTTGACTCAAATACTTTATGAATTGCCCCTCCTCTTAAGTTATGATAGAATTTCGTTTCTTATTTTTTAATATAAAAAATATGTAAGTAATAATAGTTGATATCAAACAAAATTTTTACTCAAATCTAAATAAATGCTAGTCACAATTGGAGAAAAGTTAATAGGAAAAATGAATGGTTACCAACTGTAGCAGTGTTGTATGTGGAAACCCCAGGTTGGCCAACATTCAAGGAACCTGTAATGACACTTTTGCCCATTCCATCTCCAAGAAATACCAAATTCTTCTTCTCTAACGGAACCCTAACGGTCTCCTCATAAACCCCTTCCTTGATCCCTATCACAAAACGCCGTCCAGGCCCGGTCAGGTTACTACTCGGGGCCGCGTCCACTGCCGCCTGCACCGTCCCATAGTCACACTTCCCCCCGTTAATCGCACCCTTACACACCGTCACGTCCGCCGTTAGACCGGAAGGAAACCCCAACCCGGACAACTGACCCGACCCGACAGGAGACGGATCAGCCTGCTCCCAGAACCCATCCCTCTCAGTCATGGGCGGTTTCCAGGACCCGGTTTCATTTCCAAACAAATCATAGGACACAATCATGCTAACGGCATTGCTAGTCAACCCAATCAACGAATCTAGAAACGCCATCGTCTTGTTGATCTGTTGAGTCTCATTCACGTACTTCAACGCAGACCAGCAATCGTACTGGTACAGAAGAGCGGCGCTCATCCAAGCCCTGCCGTCCTTGATCCTTCCACGTGGAAGGGCCTCGGCCGTAGATTGGATGCGGTACTGGGAATAATGAAGAACCTCCAAACAGTTCTTGGCTGCGGTGGTGCGGTTGGGATTGCCTGCGGCAGAGTCCAGGATGATGTGGACCATGGACTCGGCTGTATCGAGGTTCTGTGAAGAAACCCACATGGCTGATTCGATGATTTGGGTTGGGGTTGGGTTTGGAGGGACGTGATTGGAGTTAACCAATGAGGACTCGCACGTGTCTGGGAAGCGTGTGGCCTTGCACGCCTGGTTGATCTCAAGTCCAGGTGGGACGGAGTTCGGTTTGGGAGGGGGTTTGGTGGATGGTTGTTGGTGGTGATGGGTTGCAGAGGAGAGAGAGAAGAAGAGGAGGAGAGAGAGGAAAGCGATAAACAAGAGAGAGGCCATTAAAATGATGACCAACTTCAATGTGAAGAATGATGTGAAGGGGGTTTTTCTGTGGTGCTGCATTTTGGTGTGTGTATGGGAGGATTTATAGAAAGGCATAATAATAATGTTTTGTGGTTATGGCGGTGTTTGATTGGTTAAGTGGAAAGTTTTTGGAAGGTAGTGAAGTGACTGTCTCTGTCTGGACTATTGTGGATCATCGGAAAATGGTTTTGATTTGGAGAAACGGTTTTTGGAGTTGGAGTCACGGACTGATTTCCTTCTTGTCGTCGTTGTGTGCAAGTGGGGGAGGAGACGTTGGGCCGTGAGGGGTGTGAAGACGGAAAGAAGGCACTAGCGCGTTATTACTCCAATAAATAAAGGATTTTGAATCATTCCTATATATCTAAATCATCATGACGAATTATTTGTCTATTGCTTAAAGAAATAACAAAATATTTTTTTGAAATATATATTTTTTTAAATAAAAATAAAAATAAATAATTTTAAAGAACAAATAAAAAAAATTGGATTTTTTTTATAAAAAAATAGAGTTTTGAAAAAAGTTCGGTGATGAGTTTTTGAAATAAATTTTGAGAAATTTGTTTGATTAGAAATTTTTAAATTTTTTATTCAAATCATGATTTGAAAACTTAACCAAATGCTATTTTGATTTATTTCAAGTTGTCATCTCAACTTGAAACAGTGTTTGGACTTGATAGGTCTAACATAAATATTAAGAGAATTACATTTTAACAAATTCTAACATAAATTTTTTACTTTAAAACTCTAAGACCTACACATTTTGTTTGATTCTATCTACATTACTAATCTTTGGAGGTTTAATGATTTTTTTTATTAATGAAATGTCAGTTTGCTATAATATAGATATATAGATTGGAATATCGATGCATATAAAATTATTAAACATTAAGAAAAAAAATCTGTGGAAGATGTAGACTAATTCCTATATTTTAGTAATATCAAAATTCAAATTCAAATTTATATTTTAGTTAACTTTCCTTCTCAATTTCTAAATTTAAAATTTTAAATAAATTAATTAACTTTCTTTTTGAAATGTGTAAATTAAGGCATAAAAGTTATTTTAAATTTTAAATAGATTAACTAACTTTGTTTTTAAATTTAAATTTGTAAATGAATTAATTAACTTTCCTTTTAAAATGGGTAAATCAAGCATAGAAGCTATTTAAAATTTTAAATAGATTAATTAACTTTCCTTTCAAATTTAAATTTTTAAATGAATTAATTAACTTTTCTTTATGTAAATCAAGGCATATAAGCTATTTAAATATTTAAATAGATTAATTAACTTTCCTTTTAAATGGATTAAAAACTATTTTTTTAGATTTTTTTATAAAAATAATTTAACAATCCCATCAGTAATCATAGTGTATGAGAGAAGTTGAAAAAGGTGTTGCAGTAACTATGAGAGAAGTAAAAAAGGCTTGTGGATTAAGAAAAGTCAATAAATGTTGAGTTTTTTTTTTTAAAATCAAAAAATTAGAAAAATTAAAATTGAGATATTGGAACTCCCACAAGACTTGTGAGTTAAAAACCCCATTTTCCTTATATAATACTAACCCATCACCCGTGCTATGTACGAGATAATTGTAGCTATTTATATTTGTTTTAGAATTTTTTTAATATATAAATTATGTTTTTTAAGATTTTTTATAAAAATAATTTAACAATCTTATCACTAACCATAGTGTATGGGAGAAGTTGAAAAGAATACTGCAGTAACTATACACGGATTGTATCTATAATTATTTGTATGGGGAGATTTTAAATGCTGATCAAAGGATTTTGACCAAATCAATAAATACAGGCATGTGGGAAGACATGTGGATTGGAAAAAAATTAATAAATGCTGATCAGGAGATTTTGACCAAATCAATAAATGCTGAGTTTTTTTTTTAATAAAAAATTTAAAAAATTTAGATTGAGATATTGAAACTCCCACAGGCCTTATGGGTTAAAAATCTCATTTTGCTTAATATATAGACTAGCATATCACCCGTGCTATGCACGGGATTAAATTTAAAAAAAAAAAATCTATTTATATTATGTCAAACATATTTATAAATTGTTAGCATAAAATATATGTAATTTTAAAAGAAAATGTTGACATTGCATAATTAAAGTAATAAAAATAAGAATTTATTACATTTGTTCGAAATTCACTGAATAAGTAAAACAAAAAAATAACTAAAATCTAAATTGTTGTGAACATTCCATCACCATTCCTGCATTGTCAACATGATAGTTAGGTTGTGTTTGGTTATCATATTTGGCTAAATAATCACAAAAAGACAAAAAAAATATTCAAAAAATCACAGAAAGCCAAAAATCACAAAAAGACAAAAAAAAAAATCCACTATTCCAAAGCTAAAAATCCAAAAATCCAATCAAGAATACCAAACGAACAAAAAAGTCTCAGGCTAAAAAAGTCAAAAAGGCCAAAAAGCCAACTAAAAAAGTCATTGCCAAACAAAGGCTTAGGCCTTGTTTGGGAACAGGCTAATTTAGTAACTTTTTGGCTATTTGGCTAAAAGGGTAGGTAAAAAAAACTTGTATATTTGGGATGACTTTTTGGCTAATTATGAAAAGATGTGCAAAAAATAGAAAGAAAAGAGAATCTTTGATTTTTTGGTATGAGTTGTTGGCTTTTTGGCTAATTTAGTAACTTTTTGGCTAATTGGCTAAAATAGCCTCTTGCCAAACGAGGCCTTAGTATTATAATTAATGAACAATACATATATTATGTATTCATAAAATGTTATAAAGTAAAAATGTTATACTTACATTTTTTTTTTTTAACCTTCTGAAATGTATAGACATTCTTCTGACTAATTTACATTTAAAAAAAATAATCGTTGAACTAACTACAATCACATTTTTCTCTTTGTGAGTGTTTATATTTATCTAACTTCAATCATATTAAAAAATCAAATTATAATTTTTTTTTTTTGCTAGACCAAATACAAATAAAAAAATATGTGATAACTTCAATAATACAAATCACAAATATTTTATGCTATCTTACTACAATAATATTTTTTCATAATAAAAAAATAATTATAAAGAAGAACCATTAAAGCAGTAAATAAAACGATTAAATCACGTTAAAAAAAAATCATTGAACAAACTACAATCACATCACATTTTTGTCATAATAAAAAAAATAAATGAAAAAAAAGAACCATTGAACTAACTACAATACAATCACATTAAAAAAAAAGAACCATTGAACAAACTACAATCATATCACATTTTTCCCATAATAAAAAAAATAAATGAAAAAAAAGAACCATTAAACTAATTACAATACAATCACGTTAAAAAAAAAAGAACCGTTGAACTAACTATAATCACATTAAAAAAAAGAACCGTTGAACTAACTATAATCACATTTTTCTCTTTGTGAGTGCTTATATTTATCTAACTTCAATCATATTAAAAAATCAAATTATAATTTTTTTTTAGCTAGACCAAATACAAATCAAAAAAGAAGATAACTTCAATCATACAAATCACAAATATTTTTATTTATCTCTTACTTTTAGGCTCAATTTCCAAATCAAAACTAATTATATTTTTTTTTTTTCCGATAAGCTCATTTATAATTAAATAATACGGATATAAAATTTAAATGACAACTTAAATTTTCGAGTTATTACAGATGGTCATTACTGCCACTTTTAAAAAGTCAAAAAAGTTAATTTATTAATTTATTGACTTATTTAGATTACATGAACTAACTACAATACAATCACATTTTTAAAAAAAAGAACCATTGAACTAACTATAATACAATCATATTAAAAAATAGAACCATTGAACAAACTACAATCACATCACATTTTCTCATAATAAAAAAAAAACAAATGAAAAAAAAAGAACCATTAAACTAATTACAATACAATCTCATTAAAAAAAAGAATCATTGAACTAACTACAATCACATTAAAAAAAAAATTTGTTGAACTAATTATAATTACATTTTTCTCTTTGTGAGTATTTATATTTATCTAACTTCAATCATATTAAAAAAATAAATTATAAATTTTTTTTTTTACAAGTCATAAAATGAGATAACTTCAATCAAAAGAACCATTAAAAGAACTATTAAAATAGTACACAAAAGAAAAAATTGCTAAACCAAATACAAATTATAATTTTTTTTTTTTGGCTAGACCAAATACATCAAAAAAGGAGATAACTTTAATCATACAAATCACAAATATTTGTATGCTATCTAATTACAATCATATGTTTTTCATAATAAAAAAAAAAATAATTGTAAAGAAGAACCATTAAAATAGCAAATAAAACGATTAAATAATTATGAGGGGGTTTTAACCAAATCTCCCAAAAGGCATAGGGATTGGAAGAAATTAATAAATACTGAGTTTTTTTTTTAAAAACCAAAAAATTAAAAAATTAGGATTGGGATATTGGAGCTCCCACAATCACAAGACTTGTGGGTTAAAAACCTCATTTTGTCTTATATATAGTATAAGATAGATAGATAAGATATACTAGATATAGATACAAGATATAGATAATATAATATAATAGATAGATGTGTTGAAATTTTTAAAAAAATTTTGTTTATGCTGTCTTTAATGCATTAAAGTTTAATTATGAGGGAGTTTTAACCAAATCTCCCAAAGCCATAGGGATTGGAAGAAATTAATAAATGCTGAGGGTTTTTTTTTTTTAAATCAAAAAAATTAAAAAAATTAGGATTGGGATATTGGAGCTCCCACAAGGCTTGTGGGTTAAAACCCCCTTTTGCTTAATATATAGTACTAACAATATCACCCGTGCTAATGCACGGATTGTGTTTACAATTATCTATATATGTGAATTGTGATTTTTTAAATGTCTTTTTTTTTTTAAAATGTCTTCCTCTTTTTTTTCTTTTTTTATAATATATTAAAGTTTAATATTTTGATAATAATCATATGTGTTAGACTTTTCAATGAATTAAATGTCTTTTTTTATTATTATTATATTATATTAAAGTTTAATATTTTGATAATAATTATATGTGTTGGCCTTTAATAAATTTTTTTATGCTTGTTTTAATACATTAAAAGTGTTATTCATGAGGGATAATAATCATATGTGTGTTGTGACTTTTTCAAGAAATTCATGTGTTTGGATTTCAAAAAAAAAAAATTTTATGCTTATTCTTAAGCATAAAGTGTTATTATGAGGGTAAGACTTGGGGGTTGGGAAAAGTTAATAAATGCTATGGTTTTTTTTTTTTAAATAAAAAAAATCAGAAAATTCAGATTGGAAGATTGGAACCCCACAAAGGCTTGGGTTAAAAATCCCATTTTGCTTAATATATAATATAGACTATGCCTATCACCCGTGCTATATACGGGGTGATTATAGATATTTATATTTGTTTTAGATTTTTTATATATAAATAATAAAAATTAATGTTTTTTTAAGATTTTTTATAAAAAATAATTTAACAATTTTTATCACTAACCATAGTGGTATGGGAGAAGTTGGAAAGGGTACTGCAGTAACTATACACGGATTGTATCTATAATTATTTGTATGAGGGGATTTAAATACTGATCAAGAGATTTTAACCAAATCAATAAATTGTAAGCATGTGGATTGAAAAAAGGTAATAAATACAGATCAGGAGATTTTGACCAAAATCAATAAATACTGAGTTTTTTTTTTTTTTTTAATAGAAAATTTAGAAAATTCAGATTAGGATATTGGAGCTCCTACAGGCCTTGGAGGTTAAAAACTCCCTTTGTTTAATATATAGTATAGATAGATAGATGGGATAATTATAGATATTTATTTTTGTTTTAGATTTTTTTAATATATAAATTATGTTTTTAAAAGATTTTTATAAAAATAATTTAACAATTTTATCACTAACCATAGTGTATGAGAGAAGTTAAAAAGGGTTCTGCAATAACTATGCACAAGTTATATCTATAATTATTTGTATAAAGGGATTTTAAATGTTGATTAGGAGATTTTAACCAAATTAATAAATGTAGGCAAGTGGAAAGACATGTGGATTGAAATAAGTTAATAAATGCTAAATCAAGAGATTTTGATCAAATCAATAAATGCTGGAGTTTTTTTTTTAATAAAAATTTAGAAAATTTAGATTGGGATATTAGAGATCCTACACGCCTTGGGGTTTAAAAATCTCCTTTTGCTTAATATATAATATAGATGTGTTGGACTTTACAAGGAATTAATGTCTTCTTTTTTTATTATATTATATTAAAGTTTAATATTTTGATAAATAATCATATATTATATTAAAATTTAATATTTTGATAATAATCATATGTGTTTGGACTGTTTCAATAAATTAAATGTCTTCTTTTAAATAGATAGATAGATAGATAGATATATCTTTTTTATTTTTATTTTTTATTTTTGTGTGGTTCTATTCTGGTATTTTTTTTTCCAATTTAATTTAAGATGGAGTTGTGAGTATCTTTTTTTTTTTTAAATTTAATTTATCTGTGGTTTCCATTTGTTTTTTAAATTATTATTATTTAGGTAAGTTATGATGTGAGTTAGATATGTAATAAACATGTGAGTTTTATTTATTTAAAGTTTATTTAGATAAACTTTAAAAAAAAAATTAGTTTTTTTGTTTTTTTTTTGTTATGTTATAATAGAATATATAAATATAGGTAGATATTACAACTTTAATAAAAATATTATCTAATTTTTTGGGGAAGAGAAAAAGAATGCAAGTTTTAATATTTTTTTTAAAAAAATTTGTGAGAGAGATTAGGAGGGAGAGATTTATGAAATATTTTGTTATTAAATAAATATCACCCGTGCTATGCACAGATTGTGTTTACAATTATCATATGTGTGAATTGTGATTTTTTAAATGTTTTCTTTTTTTTTTTAAATGTATTTTTTTTTTCCTTTTTATATTATAATTGAAGTTTAATATTTTGATAATAAATCATAATGTATTGAGCTTTTCCAAGGAATTAAATCTCTTTTTTATTATTATTATATATTATTAAGTTTAATATTTTGATAAATAATCATATGTGTTGAACTTTTTATGAAATTTTTTTTTGCTTGTTCTTAAGCATTAAAAGTGTTATTATGAGGATAATAAGCATATGTGTTGGGACTTTTCCAAGGAATTCATATGTGTTGGAGTTTCAAAGAATTTTTTTTAATGCTTCTTCTTTAATGTTATTAAAGTGTTATTATGATGATAAGACTTGGGAGTTGGGAGAAGTTAATAAATGTTAAGATTTTTTTAAAAAAAATAAAAATAAAAAAAAATCAAAGAAATTTAGATTGGGAGATTGGGAGCTCCCACAAGGCTTTGGGGCTAAAACACCCCATTTGCTTAATATATAGTATAGATAGATAGATAGATAGATATATTTTTTTTTTTTTATTTTTTGTGTGGTTTCTATCTGGTATTTTTTTTTTCATTTATTTAAGATGAGTTTGTGGTAATCTTGTTTTTTTTTTTTAAAGATTAATTTTGTCTGTGGTTTCCATTTATTTTTATTATTATTATAATAGGTAAGTTATGATGTGAGTTGACATGTGATAGACATGTGAGTTTTTATTGATTTAAAAGTTATTTAGATAAACTTTAAAAAAAAAATTAGTTTTTTTAGTTTTTTTTTGTTATGTTATAATATAATATATAAAATATGGTAGATATCTACAACTTTAAATAAAAAATATTATCTGATTTTTTGGGGAAGTAGAAAAAATGCAAGTTTTAATATTTTTTTTTGAAAATTTGTGAGAGGGATTAAGGAGAAGAGAGTTATGAAATATTTTGTTATGTAAATACATAAATCAGTCAATAGTTTTTTGTAATCTATTTTGTAAATTAAAATCAATAATTTTGGAAATTGATTAATTTTTTCCATTAAGTGATTTTAAAATTTTGATAAGATATATATAAAAAAAATATATAATTTATATTATTAAATCATAATTTCAAATTTAGATGTTATATTTTTTTGAGATTTATAGCTAAATTCTTATCTTTTTTTATTATTTATTTTTGTGTGGTAACCATAGTGTAATGGGAGAAACTTGGAAAAGGTGTTTGCAATAATTATGAGGAGTTCAAAAAGGGATTGTGGATTGGGAGAAGTCAATAAATTGTGAGGTTTTTTTTTTTTTAAATCAAAAAAATTAAGAAAATTAGGATTAGAGATTGGAGCTTCCACAGGTCCTTGGGGTTAAAAACTCCCTTTTGCTTATATAAATAGTAGAAGTATCAGATATCTAAATCATGATGAATTTTTGTCCATTGCTTAAAGAAATAAAAATAATTTTTTCGAAATATATATTTTTTTAAATAAAAATAAAATAATAATTTTAAAAAACAAAATAAAAAAATTTGAATTTTTTTTATAAAAAAAATAGAATTTTGAAAAAAGTTTTGGTAATGAGTTTTTGAAATAAGTTTTGAAAGAATTTTATTGGTTATGAATTCTTAAATTTT